CAGGAATTTTAGAAGATGGGAAACTATACACCGAATCGAAATATGGCGACCAATTTGAATAACTATTGTTCTGCGCTGACTATCAACTGACTAGCCTCGTGTTCACGTGGAAACATAAAAGCATTTTCACATGTATAGGAGGCTAGTCAGTCGCTAGTCAGTGCATAACAATAGTTATTCAAATTGGTCGCCATATTTTGATTCGGYGTATTACAAAGATTTTACCAGGAATGTGAGCAAAAGGGGGGTGACTTATCGACCCCACTAGATCCGCCCCTGGGGAAGGTTGCTCCATATGTGTTAATCTCATACCATACATATGGTCCAAAATACTTCTGAAAATAGTTTCCATAATGTACTGTAAAAGTCAAGAAATAATAAAAGCTACAAATAAATTAACTATATGTCTGGAAGTAAATTGTTTAGGCTGTGAAACTGGGGCGGGTTGGATTTGGGTTGCCTGTGTTAGCAAAGGTCGTTTCCAATCCTTTTTAGCTGCCTYGAACCACGCGTCCAAGATGGTGGGTGAACACGTGAAATAACATTTCCTTTGAATTTTCTTAATTTTCCTTGCCAGAATAGCATAAATCATGGTGTTATTGCCTATTTTCCCATAGTTACGAAGACAAGCTAGACAAAGACGGGAATATCTTTATCGAAAATCACTAGAGGAGCAAGAGAGATCGATTTATGAAAAGAAAAAGCGTTTAAAATTATCACTAAGAGGTGGGTTTTCAACTCAATWTTTGTGTAAAATTCTTTGTCCGATACTTTTGACTTACACAGTTTGGTTCAGAATCGTTTTATCTTTCAATCGTTAGATGGAAAAACGATCCCAACAGAGCTGAGAAAAGATGAAGCAGAGCTGAGAAAAGCCATAGAGTTTGACGATGAAAAACATGAACGTTAGTCGATTAATACATATATACCCGGAGTAGTCAATCGATAAAAATCGATATCGATTTTGCCAATCGATAAATCGATAACAATCGATACCGCTGATTTGATTGATATCGATTGTATCGATCAATCGTTAAAAATCGAACTCACACTACATTTTTGTATCGATTTTCATCAATTGATTGATTATATGGTTTTTTTAGATTTATATGTCTTGAACGATTTCTATCGATGATCGTACGAGGGTCGTGTGGATACGGATTTACACCACCGGAAATTACTCTTTCGTAACCATAGCTTGACACAAACCAGGAGTTTTATATAGTGATCAGTGAACCGACAGCAAAAGTACTTGGATAATTACTGTAGCTGCCTGATCTACATATTATTACTTGTGAATTAATAGTTATAAAATCTATTGCGCTAGATTATATTATTGGATTGAATTAAAGCGGTCAAATCTTGATCGATAAAAATGGATTAAATCGATAAAAATCGAACTCACACCAATTTTTTTTAATCAATTTTAAACGATTTCCTATAAAAATCGATACAAATCAGCTGATTTCTATCGAATTTTATCGATATCGATATCGATTTTTATCGATTGACTACTCCGGGATATATATCAGGCATGAGTTCCGTGGGAACCAAGTGAGAGTTACAGATATTCCATTGTCTAAATTTTAAAAAATCCTTTGCGGTGTGCAGATATAAAACATTTACAAGGACGGACGTTAAAGAACCACTGAGGACGTAAAGAAACCCTGGCAGTGACCACCCTTCAGTGTCTACCCCTCACATTGACCATCTCTCATTCATAAATCATTGTAAAGCGCCTTTGAGAATATTCATATGGAAAAGAGCGCTATATAAATAATCATAATCATAATCACAAGGGATTGTCATATAGTTATATATGGGTAAATGGGGTGCATGTTACGTCATAGCTGCTACGTTGATTGACTATCCAAAGCTTTCCTCATTAAGCTTCTCTTATTAGATAAACCAAGATGGCGGCTGTTTCATTATTATTGACATCTCAAAGGATTTTTCAGTCACATGGTTGCACTCCAAGAATTAGTGAATGGAGCACAGAACTGATGCCATCCGCTCGCATAAAGTGCTGTTACATGTAGATCTTATAACCGTCTTTCTTTTTTTGTGAATAGGTTCAATGCAAACTTTTTGAATTCATAGCTAAAATGGATCCATTAAAATAAAGTGTTTTTTGTCACTATGAATGGTCGGGGGGGGGGGGGGGGATTGACCACTGGAAATTGTCTAAAAAGTCCTTGAATTTTGTGTTGGAGATGTCACTATGCATTTCAATCACAGTAAATCTTAATTAATTTCCAATCTAGGTGTCAGTAGTCATGTTGATGAYGAGTATGCCTGGTCAGGAGTAGAAGACCCTAAGGTCATGATCACTACATCACATAGCCCGAGCTCAAGACTTAAACAGTTTGCAAAGGTAAATGCCAGGTAATTGATGACTCTTAAAGCTCCAGAGTATTTGGGCTTGACATTATTTCTGAGGTTGGTAAACAAAAGCAGAAATTAGAATAACAATAACTCGTGGATTCAAGACTTGCATACAMTGGAGTTTCAAGAGTCATCACTAGTCCCTATTCTCATTCGGTAAATACCACAGCGTYTTATGACTATAGCCTGGTTTCCAGTTGATCTCTGCAATTCACCCAAAAACAATGATGTATCAGTGAATTGTAGAGATCCTGTACACCTACATCCAAGATGGCACATGGCCGGTTGAAAACAAGGCATCTGGGACCAAATTTACAAATTTACAGTATTTTCTGATAAATTGATGCTGCAAAATGTTCGCTATCCTGAATGTAAGAAGATAAGAAAGACAGAACAAGTGAACAAGTGTATACTTTGCATTGACACAATATTATTTCTTTGCATTTGGCCCTGGATGCCTCATTTTCATGTAACACACTCGGCCTTGTGCCATTTTGGAATTTGGTGTATGGAAACACTTCTTCAACGACCAATGGCAGTCATGACAATCAAAAGGTTAACCACTCACAATTATCTACACATTGAAATGTAAGGGATTTTAACACTTTTTTGTGTGTGTGGTAAGATTAAGAGTAAATGGTTTGAATGGTAAGATTAAGAAATTGCTCTTACAGTATCTTACAGAAGACATTCTTTTAAATGTACTGTTAGTTACTAAAAAATAGATCAAAATATGTCTGTAAAATTCCTGACATAAAGAAAAAGTAAAAAAGCTCATTAAAGAAATGGTTTTTGTTTTGGACCCAGAAATGTTTTTTCATAACATCACAGTTGGAAAGCGTTTTGATCACCGGTTCATACCAGCTTTTCTATTGTGTCCAGCCGATTGGATTTTTATTATTATTATTATTATTATTATTATTATTATAGTACACTCAACAAAATTACTCGACTCTGATTGGTTGAGAGGAGTACAATTATAGCGTTAATTGTACTCCGTAGGAGTACCGAATTAAGTCGCTATGGAAACACGGCCAAAACAATGTCAACAGCGGCAAAAAAAAAACGTAAAAACTAATAAAAACTACTATTTTTTAAGCATTTCAGTTGCGCAATGAACTGAAAATCAGCCGCCAAATAGACAAAGATGAATGGTGTCGCTTTGCATTTTTTACTGAAATTTTGTTGAGTGAACTATAAACAAAAAATCGCACGATCTTCTCGTAGAAAGGCTCGTGCAATTACAAGAACTTTCAAAACATTACTCATGTCTATTAATTTCCAAATTGTACTCGAGATCGTGCGATTTCCTATACT